AAGTGGTCCTCAAGTTGAATGAAAAGCCGACCTATTCAAATTTCAGTTATTTATGGAAAATTACATTGTCTTTTTAACCTAAAGCATTGGTTTAACATTTTTATATTATCAGATAACTGTTAATTGGTTTATCATTACTGTCCCTAGTTACACATGATGTTTACAACGTTCACAACCTCATCACATCTAGGCCTTTTAATCATTAATTGAAATAGCTCGTCTCCTTGTTGCTGGCCTAATGACGTTGCTTTATTTAGCACTATCACTAAAGGCTAACTGAGCTAACTTCGCCACTGTTTTTTGCTAGCTAATGTTAAACCTTCAGCCCTCAAGAGTGCAATATGTAACGGGACATGTTTGCTTTTGGGCTCCATGATTTGTTTTTATTTAAAGGGGTGCTCCAGCCAAAATTTAAAATGTAGCCATTTCTTCATCTATTGTAAACATGCCTGTTCATCTCTTACAGTGGTGCTACAGGTTTCTTTAGGGTGAAATTTCCCATTTCAAGACTAGTAAAACCCATTTCTGATTATATATTTTGAAAGTGGCAGGAACTTTTGTGAAACAAAAAGGGCTTTGAGCTGAATAATCAATTAATTTATTTATTTTCTTCTTGCCCACTAGCTGGCTAATGCAGAAGGAAACCACTAAAAGTTATATCAGTATTTAGCCTCTATGACAGTGTCTACGCTAGCAGGAACAAAGATTTCTTTAGTGGGAATCCCAGTGGTTGTATGATTTGTTTGCATAGTGCATGTTGAGAATTGTAGTGAGAGGATATTAATGGACAAAAACACAAAGATACATATTATGATACTGCATAGCATGACAAATATTGTATTAAATGTTAGTTTTAAGCCAGATTGCCCCTTTAAAACATTTACTGAGTATTTGTAATGAGTATATGTCAAAGGCACCAGACTGCCTGCGTACACGTACTTGCAGAACACTGAGCTAGGCTGAAACTGGCTCATGGAGTTACTGAACTACCAGTGCAAACGCTCCTCCACCACTTCCAGGCCTCTTTAGTTGAAGCACAGAGCACCGAACGCTTGGCCTGCTCTTAGAGGATACCTCTGAACACCATTCATCTCCAACAGGCCTGTGATCACCATCCACATCACGTAAAGAGGGGGAGGCGAGAAGCACTTAGCATTCTTACCTGCGGGGCTTTCATTATCAAACTAATAAGACAATATTAATTACGCGACTCTACGGCGCTCTAATTATGCTGACAGGCGGCCGTGATTGTGTCAAGCGTGAGAGAACGCGCTCTGCTGTGTCTATAGGAGGGCAGGAAAGGCGGTCACTCGCACTATATGATTATGTAGAATGAAAACAATGGCAGTTGTTCATCTGTCACTCACTTCATGCGTCTGTGGGATTCCCTGCTAAGTCTTCCTGTGTGGCTTATTTTTGTTTTGTATACAGGCTTATTAATGCACAGTGTAAAGGATGTAAATTTATATATCACAGAATGCCGTTATACAGTACTGTTTAATCAAATCCACTTTGCCTTGCTCATCAGCTTCTTGTAGGTTTTCATTATAGGTTCTCTGTCCATTTCATTATGTGAAGAGTCTTCCAAAAAAGCAATTGCGTACCTTCACTTGCGTAAGTATTAAGGCTCAACCAGTATGAAAAATAGTGTCACGGAGATAAAAATTCTGATAACTGATAATACTGGCAGATATATATGCCTAAGGTCAAAAAGTAAACAGCCTCGAACAGTTAAACAGTGCTTTATTGACTGATATGATTGTTGGTGGGCAACTGAATTCTCAAATAAACACACATTTTCTAAGGCGCTTATCCTTCTGGGTCGCGGGGGGAGCTTAAGCCTATCCCAGCGGTCAATGGGCGGAAGTCCCCTCTTGCTGTAAAATAATGTAAATATTGTAGCACCAGGAGTAGTTTTTCAGATTGCTTAATCCATTTTTTGTCTTATATAACGTTGTCTATAGTAGTTTTGGTGGCATTTACATGCTTTTGTTATTTTACCAGCTTGTGTGTATTGCATTAAGAGTAAGGAACTGAGTGTGACTCTCCAAAAGGGATGGGCAAGATGTGAAAAATATAACATCACAATACTTAAAGACATTTTCATGATTCACAGTGTGCATCAGTTTATTTTAGTTTTTCAGAGGTTTCGTAAGTTGGAACAGAAAAAAGCCTCAGCAGTGCCACATTTACGAAAAAAAAAATACAATCAAATACCATGACCAAAATACAATCGTTACTGTAGGTACAATGATTTTTACTGAACATTTCACTTTACTGAACGTTTCATTGTACTGCGTTAAATCCAAACAACCCTAATTATTCTCTAATGATGTTGTATGTCACCATAACGATAATTATCACCATAACGATAAATTCTCATACTACCGACACCTACTCTCCAAATTTGTAGTATTTATTCTTTAAGGTATTGAAGAAGTAACTTATAAATATCAGTGATTGAATGATGGGGTTTCCACTGACTGACAAATTCATGGAACATTTAATGTTTGCTGAATTTATCGGCCAAATGATAAATAAAATATGCTTAGGCAAAAATATGAGTACTGTATCAAAAGTGAAAGTATGAAGCAAAAAAAGGACTTGAGTGAAAGTAAAGAGTTATCTACATTTCAATATAAACGTCCTAATAAATAAGCTCAGTAATACACTTCCTCACATAAAGATAAATTAACATAATTGTGGATGGTTTCATGTTACACTGATATAAATTTAATTAGATATTTTATTAAATACAGTACAGTAAAATACACAGTAACTCAAGTGCTTTGCAGGAGAAAAGGAGAAAAATCACCTAGCCTTTAAAATTTGCATATTGAAGAATGAAAATGTTTGGAGTAAAAAGCATGTTTTTTTTTTCTCTTGGACATGTAATTCAGTTAAAGAATTTAAGTTAAAAAAAACTCAAAGTACAAATTGTCCAAAATACAACTTGAGTACAGTACTCAAGTACAATTAATGAAGTAGTTAGCCCTGATTTATAAGTCTTTCAAGAAGCCAGTATGTTGTCTTTGGTTTAGATGTTATAGTGGTTGGGTGGATAATGGCCACTTCTAGGCCTGAGGGCCTTGCTGATCTTGAATCTTCCAGATGGTCGTCTGGAGCGTCACCTGCTTCCAATAAGCAGTGACCTCAGATCTAGGCCTGTATTTTCAGCCTTGCTCACAAACACCAGTTAAGAAGAAGTTAACATGTAGACACTCATATGTCTGTTTATAAAATATTACACACTATTTTACAAACCCATCCTCAACTCGATACCATACATATGCCAAAAATCTTCATCTCCCAGTCCCAGCTGCCTTTACAGAACCGTCTACGTTCTCCTTCTTTTCCTGCCATTATCACATGGAGCCACCTGAGATGGCGAAGCAATAACGGAGCACAAATGAAATTTCCTGCGAGGCTTATTGATATCATTAAACACAAGCATATTGCACTTCACAATCATTTTAGTCTTCATCAGAGAGCTTGACATTTAGTGAATTAGGTGCTGTTGAGCAGCCTACATCTTTACAATGTTTCAGACGTAGCCCCCTCCGCTGGATTCAGCAGAGAGATCTGTCATCTCATTTGGGCCGGCTGACCGCTGATGGCTGCTAATATCCCATTGCATTAGCTCATTTGTGCCTTAATGTGCTTTTGGTGTTTGTAATCAAATAAGCAATAGCTTATGTCTTATAGCCTTAAATGAGTATGTTACCATGATTGTATTATTATTCTTTCATAACTTTCTCTTTTTCCCCCACCTTGCCTCACAGGGGGACTTCGAAGAATATTTCCTTCAAGCAAAATGTGTCAATGCAAACCTAATGATCAGAAACCTTCTGTTGTTAAATTCTAATTCAGAATGTCATTCTTTCTCTTTTAAGAATTCAATTCACATAATTGTTGTTGTTGAACCATAAACAGTGTAGAAAGTACTCCAGCAGTTTGGGAATGCTTTGGTATCGCTTTTAAAGTTGCTTTTGTCATGCAAGCCTAAACATCAAATTCTGGTAACTCAGCTCTGAGACTTGAGCCAGAATCGGAAACTGAAGACCTCACACAGACAATAAAGACCATCACGACACCACAACAGCTGACCATCCAGCTTTCAAGCTCATCCCCAATCCCTGCCATGTCTGCCCGGGCGGCCCACAAAGCTTCCCGAACATCACAGGGTGAGCGTGGCGTGGATGATAAGCTCCTGCTCTCCCCAGAGGTCATCCCGTTGACCCTTGCCAAGACATGTTCGCCATTCACACGCCGCTCCTTTCTGCCGGCTTCCAGATCCGTCCCATAAAGCCTTGTGTTTCCAGCTGCTACTGATTGGGTGGAAAGCAAAAAAAACAAAAACAAACAACAACTACAAGAAAGAAACCGCCGAAAGTTGTTGATGTCGTTGAACCATGAAACTTTTGGCCCTGGGTTGAAATTACACTGCATACGAGTTCCTTAGTCGTGTAGCTTGGGGGATAAACATACCTTACATCAACTCTGCTTGTAGTCGAGATTTTTTCCCGCTTTGGGCTGACAGCCGCTGTACTCTCTGCTCTCTCGGCTCAGAACAAGAGCAATCCAGGCAGTCCCAATTATCTCCCTCGCTTGAGGTGTCTAGAGGCCAAATGTATGTGCTCTGTACATATGCAAAGAAGCGCTTTTGCTTTGCTTACACTACATCTAAATGGAATACCACTGTAGCTATGTGTATATAGATGTACTTTGTGTGTTGTGTCAGAACACGCTAATGCGGCGCACACCCTAAACCATTTGACAAAATGATACATGTGTTTATAGAGCAAATTGCACTATTAAATGGCCTGAACTATCTCACGTCTCTCTAGCCATCTCAATTTACACATACCATCGTGAGAGGAATGGCGTATATTTGCCTTAGCTCGGAGTTTGTTATGCCTAATACTGATGGTAAGTACAGGTCATTTTTTAATTATACTGGAAATACAAATAAAAGACCCTTTCTCTCTTCTCTCCTGCAGATCATCACGCAATATGTGTACGAGCGCTTGGAGAAAGACTGCAAGCTGAGGAAAGAGATGCTCCCAGTAAGTGCAGTTGAAAGGAAAAAGAGCCTCTCGTACTTTGATTTATGCCGCCGGAGATTAAACAGGGTGTTAACGAGAAATTGGATGTAAAAAGGCTTGCCTCAGAGTTAAGTTACAGTAGTGCGAATTCTCAGGAAGCGAGATTCTGAATAAGCTTCCATATCACTCGCTCGCTGTTCAAATAGCTCCGCTGCGCTGAATAATTTCTGACTTTGCATTTCATGTTTGTAACAACCAGTCCTTAATCTGCTTTATATTTAAATGTGCTTAAAAAGACTTAATTTAGCAGGCTCCGTTAGTCACATCCTGGTCTGTTCGCATAAACAAAAAGCGTTAGGACTTCTAACTTTATCTTTTGAAGGCAAAGCACTATTTTGCATTGCTGGTGTTTGTAGTTTGAGTAATTCATGTCCTTTTAAAGGAGCAGGATATAACTGTACGTAAATCATCTGAGGGAAACAAAGTTTTTATGGGCCGTAAACATCTTTAACCATGTGTAGTATTTATCTCATTATTTTCTTAGAGACTCTGCTGTGTTCTTGTAAGTAAGAGAATTTGATGGGTGCACCCACCTGTGACAGGCTGCACTTGGCTGTAGGTTTCAAGTCTGTTCATAAACGTCCATTTGAAGGAGGAACATAAAAAGTAAAGTACTGAAATGGCAGAAAGGAGTGAAGAGATGCAGATGAAGATGTTACAATAAGAACATAGGGTAAAATAAATGGCATAACATAGATAGCCCTCATGAACAACTCAGAGTTGTCTGTACGGATCCACATTGGGGGTGAATGCAATATAAAAGGCAGGAAGGATCCATGGCGGTGTAATAAAGTCATCACGGACAGACAGCTGTTGACTTTCTTCAGGAGCTGCCTGTCTCTCGGCATAGTGCTGTTAATAATGAATGATTCCAAGCTATGAGTCATTCCGCTCTTTGTGTATCTGGTGCCCTGCCCCACTTTAATGAAAGGAAAATAAATATAGTTGTTGACACACATCAAGGGATTGAAGACTTTCACAAGCTCTCAATACCAAAAACACAGTTTATTATAGGATTTAGGCTTTCCCAGATTAAGGAACTTCGGTAATGATTTTATATATGTCTGTAGCCTATGTGTGTAAGTAGTCATTTATTTGTTTGTGTGTTTGTCGTGAATTTTAGGGCACATTCTAATTCAGATTTTATTTTAGTTTTTTTTAAACCAAAGCTCACACTAGCACATATCCAGCAATTTCTCTTAGCCAAAGTCGGAGGATGAATAACACTGTTTTCTATTTAATGAGCCAAATCAGCATTTTAAATTCCCAGATGAAAAATGATGTATACTTAAATAACATGAATCAAGTAGAATGCTACAACGAAAGTAAGAGGCAAAGCCAAAATCTGCCAATTCTGATCTTGGTCAATTCTGATCATGTATACCTTTTTTTTAACCAAGGTCTGTAGCTTTTGAGAACCTCTGCAGTGCAAATAACAAAGTGACTAGTGATTAAAAAGCCCTTGACTGTAGCAATATATTTTCGTTTTTGCACTGTTTAATGTAAAAAATAAGGCTTTTTAACTTTTTACATTGATCTATTTATTCTACATATTGCATGTATTATTCAGTAAAGTATATAAAAAAAAAACAAAAAGCAAAATCCTTTTTTTAATCATTTCAGATTTTCTCTGTAGAATTAGCTGTACCACTCAGAAATCCCTTTATTTTTTTCTTTATGTGTGTATTTTCTGCTTGTGGTTTTTTATGTCTGCTGACAGCTGTACTTGAATGTTACAGGTGGATGCAACAGAGGATGAACCAAAGAGTTTTATCTATCTGAGTGAGGATGCGCAGACTAATGCAGATAAGCTGCTGGTTCTGATTCAGGGCAGTGGTGTAGTTCGTGCGGGACAGTGGGCCAGACGCCTCATCATTAACGAAGACCTGAATAGTGGGACCCAGATTCCCTTCATCAACAGAGCCATGAAGGTATGCCCCATCTGACTTGGTTGGGTTTGTATTAGGACCTGAATTTTTTTTTTAAACCTATATCAGTTGCAAAGTACTAAAAACTATATGTTAAAACTATATATAAAAAATATATTTTGATATGGACGAAAACAATAGACTCCAATAGTTTTTTCTAAACAGTGCTTCACTGACTGAGATAATTGTCCACTGACAGTCAGTAAAAACGATTTTGTCAGTTCTCAACCATGAATAATTTCCTAAACTCATTTTAACAGAAGAAGAAGTCTTAAATAATATTAAAAATTAACAACCTTAAAATGTAACCTTAAAATGATGGACAAGGAAAAACACCTTCTAATGATGAATCATGAAGGTGAGAGGAATTTTTGAAAAAGTACAACTGCTTTGGTGGGATTTGGGAAGCTATTTGAAATATGTTTTCTAGCTTCCTAGCTGTGTCATTAGCTTCCTTCTGTATTTCCCAGCTGTTGAAAAAAACTGCATCTCTAATGCTTTCTGAATGGCCCCCAAAAAATCCTCCTCAAAGTTCCTTCTACCCTAAAGATATGTCATACACATGTTGTCTAAGCCACTTATCCTTCTGGGTTGTGGGGGGTGCTGGAGCCTATCCCAGCGGTCACTGGGTGGAATGCAGGAAACACCCTGGACAGGTCGCCAGTCTGTCACAGGGTTGCTTTTATAACATTGCTGCATAACTCAGTTGTTAAAATATAAGCATAATCATTCAGAATGGTTTAATGTGAAATGCGCAAGTAGTGGCGATAGGAACCAGACTTCAAAAGCATCTGAAAGCTATAGGACCGAAGCTATTGAATTAAATATTTTGAATATGTTGGCTGATGCCTGAGACATTGCTTTACGATAGTTTTACAATGAAGTTCTGGCCTAAAACATTTTTTAAAGCCTTTCTTGGTGATACAGGATGTCATAAGGCAAAATAGCCTGCACTCAAATAAAACTTCATCAGCATTACATATTAGAACTCAGAGTAGGTCGGTCATGAGTAGGTTCATTGGTCATTTTAAATAGTAAAGAAAATGGCTGTATTTGCTTTGTAGACATTGCGACTTCTGGTTCAGGTCACCACCACTGTAAAGAAATCAGTAAGTTTTGCTTCAACAATTTTACATCAGACCACTCTAAAAGACTGTATTTGCATCTCGGTAACGAATTAAATGAATGAAATGATTTCTGAAAATTCTGAAAGGTCAGTGAAATTCGCCAGTAATATCATCTTACTATTTTGGCTGATTACTTCTTAAATTTAGCCTGTCTGTGCTGTCTAGAGATTAATGGTCATTTAAGTGAGGATGTGAAATCTCCTGAGTTTCGCAGTTCTGTTTTAATTGAGAAGTGAAGGTCTCATGAGATGTGGACACTAATAGTAGTAGCACTTGCAAAAGATGTATGTATTTCTGTGTACAATATTCTTGCAAATTCTTGTGTGTTCACTCAGACTTATCATGTTCTGTGTAGTCTTTGCACTGTTGATCATGTTCATCTTGCTGTAGCCCATGTTAAAACCACTGCTGTATTTGTCAAGCTGATATTGCAGAGAGTTTGTGATACAGTTAGGCTGTGGGCACTGTGTGATTTCTCAGTGTCTCTCGCTCACTCTCTCTCTCCATGCTATCTCTTCTCTCTCCGCTGCACTGCCTCCCATACAGTAGTTATTTATTTACCCAGCAAAAACAGGCCGTTTGTAGTTATGTGTGTACTGTAAACTGTAATTTAGATTTTCATTTCTTTTCTCCGTCGGAGAGCGTCTCCCCTAGCCGAGTTATTTCCGTACACTGCGGCTAGTCGTTTGTCACACCCGCCCACTGCTACCTGTGTAATTTCATCGGCCTCTGCGTTCAAATTGACTTAGGGGAGATCTCCCTCTCTCTTCCATCTAAATGTCATAAAACACGCAAGCGCGCGCACTCCCGCGTCCATGTCTGCCGGCAAAGTCACTCTCCAAGCAAGACGGGAAGCGTCGGATACAGATGATGAGTGTGTGTGTATGTGTGTGTTACCATAAAGTGGCTTATTGCGTTTGCCATAGAGGTGCGTAGTGGGGACGTACAGTGACAGCTGCTTGCTGCTGACCATTCATCACACTAAATAAGCGCTGTGGCTTCTGGGCTCTGACATCATCATAATAGCATTTACAGGAAGAGGAATCCCACCGGCTGGAATGCCTGCATCCGTCCTGCTGAGAGCATCTCCACGTCAGCTTCTGCTTTTTGAAGTGACAGGTCGCTTTGGTGATTTCCTGGGTGATAAACAAGGCTGCCCGAGGCCGTGAGTGGGTGAAACCTACCTGAACCGACGCAGGCTCGGCCACAGCTTATCAGCTTCCTTAATAAGACTGGAAATTGGTAACTGATTTTAGATCAAACGACTATCCTGTTCTGTCCTATTAAGAGTTATTAGGTGATTATTTAAGCACTTCCAGTGCCCACCAAAAGTTTGGGGACAGCTTGTCATTTTAAATTTTCAGAATTGCGCTTAATTAGCACTGTCACTGTTAAATTAAGTGAGGAAAAAAATGTCTGTAAATGATCTATTAACATAAACTGTTTACTAATATAGAACAAAACGTTTAATCCTTAGTCTTCTCTTTACTAGTAATATTAATAGTAATTATTATTATTTTATTAGTAATTATAATTTTTTGGATTTTTATGAATATTCCAATTGTGTACTTACTCATGTTTATTTATTATTTACAGTTGTATGCAAACGTTTAAACACCCCTGTTGAAATGATGTTTTGCTAGTTTTTAAGTGGAAATTTGTCAGCACATGCTTTACAGATGGCATTTTTGTGCCAGTTTTAGTGCACAGATTTTCTTCATTTGTTGAGTTTAACATATTTTAAAAATAAAACATAAAATATATTATGTGCAATAGCTTTTTCACAGCTCACATTTTGTTTTATTTTTGTTATTTTTTTCAATATGTTAAATTTAGCAAATGAACAGGTGTGTCTAAACTTTCGCATATGACTTTATCGTGTTTATGCTTTTTTAAGCAATGTAATTGTAAAACTACAAGGTGATGGAAAAAAAAAACATCACTGATAAACACGCATAAAATGCTAGTCCGGGGGATCCTGCCCAATCTGGCAGCAGATTGATGGTGCTTTCTGAATGTGTCATTGATGAGCAGTGCAAAGCAGAGGAAGAGTCTTTTAACCATTGCCTTACAAAATGAAAACTTTTTTGGTAAACTTGTCAGTGAATGGGTGAGTGATCAAGGTTTTCAAACCGCTTAAATCTGTTTTATTCCAGGACATGCACTAAACTCAACCATGTCGGGTTTAACACTTGGTGCAGCCTGAATATGTCTGTTATGTCAGCATAACAGTCTGAACTGAAGCAGTAGTAAACTTACTATACTCTTATATGCCTACACCTGGCAACTTTGTGCTGCTTGTGTCTAAACTAACCTTTGTTTCCCTATATAAGTGTGTGGTTTCATAAAAGTGATAAAAGTATTGCTTATTCCAATATGTTTACTGTTTTTGACTATTTTGGACATTGATTTTATTAAGTATTTTCAAATATTTTTGCAACTATAGACATAATATATATATAAATAAATATATAGTACTCTTTTATATTTATATATATATATATATATATATATATATATATATATATATATATATATGTATGTATGTGTGTATATATATATATATATATATATATATATATATATATATATATATATATATATATATAAGAGTGCTACTTGTAATACTTTGGGTCTGCGAGGCAGCGCTCAGCTCCACGTTCATCAAAGTGTCCTCCTTGGGATGAAAAGCAGGTTTTGCCTAAAAAAGGACTTGGCAGCTTTTTTCCAAACTATTTTTACACATTAAACACATAAATGCATATTAAAACTCTTTTAGCCCAAAGGTGGTTAAAATAGCTGTGAGGCCTGAGCGCTTATGAGTTCTGGCATCACAAGAAGTAGTAAAAAAGCATGGTCTATGACATTATTCCCAAGGTGGGACATTTGTCAGTTGTTCCCTCAGTTCCTTCAGAAAAGTGTCAAGATCTTAACAGCTTTTTTTATGGACTGTGTCTTTAATATGTTAAGTTATTGCACACTGACAAAGAAAACATGCTTATTGATTTTTTAAATGTTTGAAAAGCTATATGTCTCTAAGCATCTCATTATTTGAAATGAGAGCAGTTGATATAGGCAGGTCTAGACATAGAACTCCATATCACCAACCTGCTTTACTGTGTAATGCAAATGGCTCTCGATGGAAGAACTCAATGAGAACATTCAGTAGCATGGACAGGTAAACAGACAGAGAGAGAAGGCAAGAGAAAAAGAGAAGTTGCCAGAGACTGAAAGAGAAAAAACACAGGAGAAAGTGAGAAGAACGAAGGAGAACGTCAGTTATCTGTCAGGTTTCACTCAGCAAGGCTGAAGAGAATGAGCAGAGTGAGAAGGCTTTTATCTCTCTCGTCCATCTCTGGTGGACTGTCCTCCGCTGGCCCAAAGATCAAGTGGAACCTGTTCAGTCCGTCTCTGTTTCATCATGTCCTCCTCTCTCCTCCTTGCGTCCTCACATCTTTTCCTCTTCTTTCTCTCTGGAGCTGCCCTTCACTCAGCTCATTAGCTCAAATTGAACAGCAATGTGTTTTAAAAACGTCCTTTTTTTTGCTTTGTCTTGTTGAGTAGAGACAGGTGTAAAAAGTCAAAGTGAAGCTGAGCCCGTTGTCAGTATGGCTAATGAAGTTGCTTTCTATCATTAGGGTGACTGAGAATGGCCCTCTTGTGGGAAATGGTGTGGTACTTGGTGGATGTGGAACTTAATCATTGCTTTTCTTTCTTGTATTTGGAAGTCAGTCGTCTTCGGAGTTAATTGTGCTTCCCCAAAAGCAGGTACATGCTAGAGCCCGACTGATATGTCAGTTTACCAATAAAATCAGCTGATATTAAAGTTATAATAAAGTATAATACATTCAATTTATGCATATTATAGTAAAGATT